TTTTATGAACAATGATAGACTGTTTGCCGAAGACAACACATTCTTTTAAATGTTCAGCCCCACCTCCAGTCCCAGCCCCCCAGAATATGAAGAAATATGATGACACTGATTTCACGAAATAAAATTCCCGATAACTGGGCAAAATGATAATCTTAGACAAACATATCGCAGGTGCACTTGGTGCGTAATATTTGCGTTTGTTTTTCTGAAATAGTTAATTTAATAAATGTGTGGTGTCAAGGGCATCGAGGTCATTAGCAAAATAATTTAATTCAGGGGCGTGAAAAAAAAAGCGGTTGCGAGCCTTATGGAAAAAAAGGGGGGGGGGGCACAAATTGGGATTCGTATAAAGTGCGTTACTTGTAGAAATGTTTTGTCAAAGGAAAGCGCCCCCCCCCCCCTCCTTTTACTGTTCAATAAAAATTTTATAAATGTTTCTACGAAAAACTTTAATTTTAATTTTTTAAAAATTAAGTACTATATTTAGATACAAAATCTTCTTCCTAAATCGCCTATTAAAAATAAATTCTATGGATTTGGTAGAAATATGTTCAATTATGTCAAAGAGGCAATTTATAAATGATTTAACGACAGTAGGAGTAGTTTAAATCTATGAATATAATAATGAATGTTTGTATGTATGTCCCGTATGCTCTGTGATACCATTCATACGATTGCGATAAAAATATAGTGAACTGTTTTCCACAAGCGCGCGCATTACAAAAGAATTATTACTATCATTTTTCAATGTTCAGTTTTATGCCCCAGGCCCCAGGCCCCAGTCCCTAAATTTGTTTTTTTTTCTTATATGGGCTATGTAAATATAATAATTTCTGTCTGCGCTTCTATACCATTCACCCGATTGTGGTAAAACTTTGGTGAGTTGTGCGCCCGCCCGCAAAGATTTATAAAAATTACAACTATTTAAAAATATTCCGTCCCGGGCCCTCATTTCGTTGTTTTCTCATATGAGCTATATAAATATTAGGTTTCCTGCCGACACGTTCGTTGTTTTGTTGCGTTCCTTTGTTCCGGTTGTAACTTAACTTTGTTTTACTCACTTCCTACAGCATGATGCACCGCTGAACTTTTTCGCCAAACAATCGTTGGGAATGTAAAAATGGCATTTGATGAAGCCACACAATCTATCACATTGCTAAAAAGCTTCTGTCAAATCACTGCAACCACCGACGAATTGATTCACACATTTTTCCAAAATATCGCACAGTATTACAAAAACCATCATTGGCGCAGTGCACGTGCTATAGTAGCAGCCAAAAATAACGATGTCAATGTCATCAACTTCATCATTCAAAATGAAAGACCAGCGAAGCAACGACCGTATAAGTCCATCGACACTGTATTGAATTAAGAAGAAGTTGTCAATTATCCAACGGAATTCTTGAATTTATCCCTTATTTATTTATTTTAACACTAAAAAATTGGCGTGCCTATCATTCTTCTCTGAAACATAAATCTACCAAAACTTTGCAACGGTACCAAGTTTTCAGTAAAAAAAGACGATGAACAGTTCCATCGAAGCTACTATTTTAAATGGAAAATTTAAAGGAGAAGATGTGCTGTTGCCACACATCCCAATGATTCCAAGATATATGCCATTTGATTTCAAACGTCTGCAGTTTCCGGTGCGACTCGCATTTGCAATGACCATCAACAAAGCACAGGGACAATCTCTACAAGAGTGTGGACTCAATTTAGAAAACCCATGCTTCTCCCATGGACAGCTGTGTGTGGCCTGCTCCTATGGACAGCTATATATGGCCTGCTCCCATGGACAGCTATATATGGCCTGCTCCCATGGACAGCTATATATGGCCTGCTCCCATGGACAGCTATATATGGCCTGCTCCCATGGACAGCTATATATGGCCTGCTCCTATGGACAGCTATATATGGCCTGCTCCTATGGACAGCTATATATGGCCTGCTCCCATGGACAGCTATATATGGCCTGCTCCCATGGACAGCTATATATGGCCTGCTCACGCGTTGGAAAACCTTCTGATTTATTCATGTACGGACCAGACGGAAAAACAAAATAAAATATTGTGTAGTTAAAAGCTCTCCAAGAACATACTTCAAAAACAAACACTTCCTTTTTTAATTGCACAGCAACGCTTGCCGGATACTCGCTAGTTTCAAATAAAAAATTTAATCAACTAAATATTTGGAAATTTATACTTCATTTATATACGATTTCCCTCCGATAAACAGACATTAATAAACATTTGATCTTCCTTTTAACAACTGTCACCGCTACTGCCGTGCTAGCTTCCTCCCGGTGACACCCTACTCTATGTGGTCAGTCTGACACCGTGGTAAGTCTGACACCCTACTCTATGTGGTCAGTCTGACACCGTGGTAAGTCTGACACCCTACTCTATGTGGTCAGTCTGACACCGTGGTAAGTCTGACACCCTACTATAGGTGGTCAGTCTGACACCTACTATAGGTGGTCAGTCTGACACCCTACTCTATGTGGTCAGTCTGGCGCTCTACCATAGGTTATTAGTCTTCTTAGCTGTGTTTATTTTCCACCATTGCACTACTCTGACCACAATATCCCAGCTTTGCTTTTAAAAATTCGAACTTTTGATATTTTGTAAGAATGCAAGCGTTGTTAGTAAACTATCTTAAGTTTTGATCTTTCCATGCATTGTAACGTGCGACGCTTCTTAATATCTTTTTACTTAAGTGGTCTTTCCAAATCTTTATTTTTGAGATTAATCAAACACTTCAAAAACTAGAAGGACTTGTTTTAATTCTCCAATGTGTTAAAAACAGTCCATATAATTCTATCATTGCTAAAAGAATCACTTTAATAAGACAATGGTAATTGCTAAAAATGTAAATTTATATTATAAAAATGTTCCATAAAAGCATTTAAAATTCAAAAAAAGTAAAGCTCCATTCTTTCCTTACTGACCCCGGAAATCGAACACCATCATCAGCATATCGAATAACTTAACGACCAACAGACCAGAGTACAATCCCCCAAAAATCGTTCGTACATTCGATATGACTATTTGCCCGACACATTTGGCTTTAGGGGTCTTTTAAATACGCAATTCCCGGCCATTCTACAATGACATCCCTTGAACTCCTCCACCAAGACCACCTGACCATTCCATGAAGACTTTCCTTTCCCTCCTCCACCAAGACCACCTGACCATTCCATGAAGACTTTTCTTGCCCTCCTCCACCAAGACCACCTGACCATTCCATGAAGACATTCCTTGCCCTACTCCACCAAGACCACCTGACCATTCCATGAAGACATTCCTTGCCCTACTCCACCAAGACCACCTGACCATTCCATGAAGACATTCCTTGCCCTACTCCACCAAGGCCACCTGACCATTCCATGAAGACATTCCTTGCCCTACTCCACCAAAACCACCTGTTTAAAGATCAACATTATCTTGTATTTTGTTTGAACAAACATATGTCTTTATACTGTAAATAATCGAATCGGAACGTAAAGTTGCGGCCCGTCATTCATTATACTCACTGACCTACTTTCCATAGAAGGGTTCAATGTTGATATTTGTGCCAATGATGGGCCGTCGCTCATTAAACTCCCTGACCTACTTTCCTTAGGAGGACTCAATGTTGATGTTTGCGCCAATGGCGGCCCTTCACTCATTATACTCCCTGACCTAATTTACACAGAAGGGTTCATTGTTGATATTTGCGCCAACGGAGTCCCTTCACTCATTATTCTCACTGACGTAGTTTCCATAGAAGGGTTAACTTTTGATATTTGTGCAAATCATATTATGAAAAAACAAATAGAACCTACTCAGCCATGTTGAATTCTTAATGTAGAAACATAACACTTTATTTGTTGTTTCATCAAATGTTTGCAGTATGTTCCTGTTTATATTCTTAAAAATCTAACAAAATATATAAGAATTTGCTATAATGACACTATTTTGAGCATTTTATCCAAATTTGAAAGTTATGAAAAAAAAAGTATATCATATTCACATTTATCGGGAAAACCCAAACTTCTGTTGCTTTTAGTGCGTTTTTAGTACGTTGTTAATAATGCGAAATAAAAATAAAATTATTTTGTTAAATAATCACGCAAATGACGTCATATCAAGAATTGCCTATTTTAGCCAAAGCTCTAAGTTTCTTTGATTAAACAACACGCTTGTCAAAACGGATAATGCAGTCCCCCACCCCCCCCCCCTTATTATAAAAGTGAAATTAATAAATAATATTGATTGCTTTTTAAATTGCTAATAGAACACAAAAAGATTTAACTTTGCATTTTTAACATTTAATCAAGTTTTACTTTTAATACATTTCCAAAATATTCTTTTATTATTACATTTATTAAGTAATGCAAACGTTACATTTAAATATACTTTTAATAAGAAAATGACGTTAAAGTCAATCAGTGCAGCGAAACTCCATAGTTAATTAGCAGTCGTTTGTTTGTTTACCCGGGGGGGGGGGGGGGCTGTCATCACGTAGATAATAATTGATGAAATTCTGTGGGAGGAGTGATACGATTCTTTCCTTTTCTTCTTCTTCTTTATTGTGAGGGCCCACGATCAATGAATTGATCAGTCTAGCCCCAGGCAGCACAAGATACGCCCCAGAATAAAGGAATGGACTTGATAAATAATTAACGTTCTTAGGTACATATATAGGTACATGTATATCTGGAGTCGGAAAAAGGATGTGTAAATTTTTACGTGGATGACAATATCTTTCAATGCAATGATATTGTCATGATACATTATTTTAAATTTTTTTTTTTTTTTTTTTTTTTTTTTTTTTTTTTTTTTGTTTTTTGTTTTTTTATTTATTTTTAAATTTTTTTTTTTTTTTTTTTTTTTTTTTTTTAACAAATAAACATATGTTAACAATGAATAAAATCAATAACGTTAACAAAACGTGGGTACATTCACGTACGTCTGCTCTTGAATATTAAAACGAAATCATTACACACCTAGAACATTTTAATTTTGAAAAATGGAAATGGGTTAAGATTTTCTTTTAAACAATGAAAAAAATATTTTTGTTTTTATTTTGCGAAAAGTAAAATGGGAATATTGTTATGAGATTAAAATGACCCTCAATGCTGTTACAGACGACGTGAAAAACGGTTAAGAGATTCTTCTTTAGATAAAAAAATTCTTTGTTTTACGATTTTCCGATAATATAGTAGAAAACAAAGGCAAAAGTCTAATTCATTTTTTTATCAAGAATTCAATATAAAAATTTCCTTAAAAATTTTTAAAATTTAAAACGCTATGTAGAGTCTCTTTTTTAACTTTAAGATTAAGTTTTCACAATTTTTAGAGAAAAAATATTAGTTTAGGGGCACAAAAAGTGGTAGGGTAGGCAGACCGTTTAACAATTTAAAAAAAGGAATCTTAAGTATTTTGTTGGCGTAGAAATCAGCCGTCAACGAACTCCTTTAGTGACAATAATGATTTAATTAGGGATCATTTAGATTTGGTAACTTAATGTCATGTTTAGAGAAGTGTTAGGGTAGGCGTATAATTTATAACAGAAAAATACTTCTTAAATCTTTTAATGATTTTAGAAACGTAAATATCATTACATAGATACTTCTTTTAAAATATGAAATTGTGATGATTTTCACAATAGCAGGTGGAAATATTATCTCGATAACATCGGGTCATATTTTCTAGTGGATTAATGTTTGTTCAAAAATGATCACGCAAACCGTATACAATGCTTCACAAAAATCATTTTGTTCTAATTTAATAATATTAATTAAATATATATTTAAATATCAGAGTAAATTATACATATCCTTAAGAGAAAATCAAATGATTGCTGGTAAAATGGTCTGCATGTTATGATCAATAATTCAATGACAAGAAATTTGATCAGAATAACATTAGGACAAAGAAGTCAAATATTAACACGCACTTTGGAAAATAGTTGGTGTTTCTCGAAGATTCTATTTTTAATTATTTGTTTAAATCAATCTTACTGTCTGAAAAGTAGAGTCCGTTTAATAGATATTGAGTCCAGTGAGAACCAACATGTGAACCATTCTTCCAGTGAGAACCAACATGTGAACCATTCTTTCAGTGAGAACCAACATGTGAACCATTCTTTAGCCGTTCTCTCGGATACTATTTCTCAGCTAAGTGCTTTTTTTTTTCTTTTATTCTGTTTCTTCTTCTGTTTGTTCGCTGACGAAGGCTTCCTGCCGTCACGTTCATTGTTTTGTTGCGTTCCTTTTTTTGTGTGCAAGTTTGATCTTACTTTGTTTTACTCATTTCCTAAATTATTTTCTACATTGAAATCACCGGTGTTGATACATTATAAGATATAGAATATTTTCTAGATTGAAGTAACCGATGTTAACACAATGTTATAAAATACTTCATGCCAGACCTACACGCTAAGTTTACAATGTGTGTGCAAACAAAAATAAACAATCATCATAAATCTAGAACCATTGAAAAGTGTAAAACATTGAAATGACTGTTCCCATTATTTATCTTCCTCTAACGGTCATACGATGAAATATTTGGCTTCTTAGTATTAGTGTTTTTGTTGTCGTTGTTGTATTATTTTAAATATTTCATGAAACATCAATCAAAAATTGGACAAAGTTCCTGATCACATTTATGTAATCCCGATCACATTCATGTAATCCCGATCACATTCATGTAATCCCGATCACATTTATGTAATCCCGATCACATTTATGTAATCCCGATCACATTTATGTAATCCCGATCACATTTATGTAATCCCGATCACATTTATGTAATCCTGATCACACTGTACGACTCACATTGCGTCATATTTCGGCTATTGATTTCCTCTTACGATATAATGACATATCTGCAGCAGGACATGGAACAGTTCAAAAATGCTCAATATAGACAGACCAATCCATAGACCAATAGTTCCGCCAACGTCAGACATCAGCTGAGTAAACTGGGATAAATATATACGACAATATTTAGACAACTTTTATTTAAAACTTCGTTGTCGCTCTTATATAAACCTAACAACAATTAAGAGGCAGACATACTTGAGATACATGAGTAGTACAACATACAAGGCACGAGACATACTTGAGATACATGAGTAGTACAACATAGAAGGCACGAGACATACTTGAGATACATGAGTAGTAAAACATACAAGGCACGAGACATACTTGAGATACATGAGTAGTACAACATACAAGGCACGAGACATACTTGAGATACATGAGTAGTACAACATACAAGGCACGAGACATACATATATGAGATGCATAAGACACATGAGTGATACCACATACAAGTCATGAGACATAAAATATTTGAAATGTATAACATATTATATGAGGAATTCAAATTCAAAATACAAGACAAGAGCTGAAGTCACGATCTAGTCAAGAAATATTTACAATATTCTAATACTTTTATTTGTGAAGACTATTAACATTTCAATATACATTTCCGCATACATTTCCACATTCATTTCAACATACATTTCCACATACATTTCGGCATACATTGCCACGTACATTTCCACATACATTTCAACCTACCTCATAATCGATTTGTTCCTCCAATTCTTCAAAGTTAAGTTCTTCAAAATAAATATTCAACTTGATGAAGTCTTCTCTGAGAATGTGCAACATACACATGAATTGAGGACTTGTCACCATTACCTCAAAGGAGTTGGAAGGTTAGTTTAGATAGTTGAGTGGAAGAGGTTAGCTAAGAGGTTATGTGAGAGCTTAGGTGAGTAGTTATGTGAGAGAGGTTAGGGTTAGGGTTAGGTGAGAGGTTAGGTGAGAGGTTAGGTGAGAGGTTAGGTGAGTAGCTATGTGAGAGTGGTTAGGTGTGAGGTTGGGTGATTAGTTATGTGAGAGAGGTCAGGTGAGGGTTAGGTGAGAGGTTAGGTGAGAGTGGTTAGATGTGAGGTTGGGTGAGAGAGGTCAGGTGACAGGTTAGGTTAGTGGTAATGTGAGAGGTTAGTTGATAGCTGAGGGGTTAGCTGTGAGGTTAGCTCAGAGTTTAGGTGAGATATTAGATGAGAGAGTAGACGAGAGTTTAGTTACAAGGTTAGGAATAGGTTAGGTGAGAGGTTAGGTGAGAAGTTAGTTGAGAGGTTAGGTGAGAGGTTAGGTGAGAGGTTAGGTGAGAGGTTAGGTGAGAGGTTAGGTGAGAGGTTAGATGAGAGGATAGGTGAGAGGTTAGGTGAGAGGTTAGGTGAGAGGTTAGGTGAGAGGTTAGGTGAGAGGTTAGGTGAGAGGTTAGGTGAGAGGTTAGGTGAGAGGTTATGTGAAAGGTTAGCTGAGAGATTAGTTGAGAGATTAGGTATGAGGTTAGGTTAGAGAAGTTAAGAAAGAGGTTAGGAAAGAGTTCTTGTGAGAGGGGCTAGAAAGAGGTTAAGTGAGATTTAAGATGATATTTTAGGTCAGAGGTTAGGTGAGAGTTTAGGTATGAGAGGTTAGGAAAGACTTTAGGTGAGATGGGTTAGGAAAGAGGTTAAGAAAGAAGATAAGTGTCATTTTAAGAAGTAACATAACAATAGTTGTTTATATCACAGGAATGAATTATTTAAAGTTGGTAAGTGTGGTTAAGAAATCTAAGCAAGTGCCGTAAACTTTGAACTGCCTGGTAGTTAACTATTTTTTCAAAAAAGCTAAATTTTACAGTTATCAAGTCAAAAATATAAATATGTGTATCAATGCATAACATGATAAAAACAAACTTATTCAATGACATAATATAACATTTTTAAGAAATACATATAATGAAAGAATATTACTCAATAGAAACATTGACTGACATACTCATACTTGATATAGACATACTATACATATGACATCTGTGACAAACATAAAAGTTCATTTTCTTCAGGTGATCTATACCTTTAGTGTTATCAGAGTCATACATGCTGAATTTAAATCAGGGGTGGCCAACCCTTTCAGCAGCAGGGCCAAGTTAAAAAAAAAAAATTCCTGCCAGGCCACGCACCTAATTTTTTGTTTGTTTGTTAATTAAAGCCATCAAGCAAGCGTGCTACAGCTTCTCCGACAAGTAAGCGTGCTACAGCTTCCCCAACAAGCATGCGTGCTACAGCTTCTCCGACAAGCAAGCGTGCTACAGCTTCCCCAGCAAGCATGCGTGCTACAGCTTCTCCGACAAGCAAGCGTGCTACAGCTACTCCGACAAGCAAGCGTGCTACAGCTACTCCGACAAGCATGCGTGCTACAGCTACTCCGACAAGCAAGCGTGCTACAGCTTCCCCCACATCGTCGCTTCCCAGTAGACGGGATCGTGGTCACATGGACCCGGACACGCATCGCCGCCATTCGCACCCCGGTCCCTTTGCCTAATGCTATTCGAATGTCATTTGTGGTAGTTTATTTAGTTCAACTGAAGAAGTAAGTTTACAAACATATAGTCCATTCAATTATCTTTTATTTGATACCTCATTATGTCTTACAAACCCAACAATAATATTTTAAATAGTTTAAATAGTGCGAATAGCCACTTCAATGTAGGAAAGTGATTAATTTTTTTTGTCCTCAACTTTTGTTCCCAAAGATCAAGTTTTACCTAAAATGCAGAAATATGATCATACATCTTATTAATTAATTGATCGTTCCATTGTAGACGAGTATTGGCGTCATTTAGGTGGCTAGTTATAGCGACCAGAAAAGCAAACTCTCAAACCCACTCTTTGTCTTCAAACTCTGAGACACTTATTGACTTGCTTGCAAAGAATGATTGTATATCTTGCTGCAAATCAAACAGTCTTTTCGACATTTTGGCACGTGTCAGCCATCTTACTTCTGCATAAAATGTAACGTCATTATAATCTGTGTCAAAAGATTTTAGAACTTTTTGGAACTGACGGTGATTCAACCCGTTTGACTTAGAAGATCACTATTTTAACGACCAATTTCATGACATGGTCCATTTTGAACATAAATTCTCCTGATGAATATTGCAATGAAATTTTAGCATTTAAGTATTGCCGACTTTGGAGGCGTCATTTTCCATCAGTTTGACTCAAACTTTGTGTTCCCAAATTGAGCACCATCCGTTGTTAAGCCAGATAAGTTGTTAAGCTGTAACGAAAGCGATTCAATGTCGATGCAACTACTTTTTAACAAGTTTTTTGACTTAGTAATGTCTTTAAGTGGATAAAGTGCCTTCAATTCTTCTGTCTTTTTAAAATGGACATCAAGACTCCTGGAAAAAATTGCCAGTTGGGCAGTATCTGCTATATCTAAGCTTTCATCCAATGCTAGAGTTGGGCAGTATCTGCTATATCTAAGCTTTCATCCAATGCTAGAGTTGGGCAGTATCTGCTATATCTAAGCTTTCATCCAATGCTAGAGTTGGGCAGTATCTGTTATATCTAAGCTTTCATCCAATGCTAGAGTTGGGCAGTATCTGCTATATCTAAGCTTTCATCCAATGCTAGAGTTGGGCAGTATCTGCTATATCTAAGCTTTCATCCAATGCTAGAGTTGGGCAGTATCTGTTATATCTAAGCTTTCATCCAATGCTAGGGAATAAAATATAAACTCGGATGCTCAATTTTTCCAAATGTCTTCTCTATGTTTGTGACAGTTGTCCACGCGCTTAGTCTGACGTCTGACGAGACAGACGTATTTTTGAGAAATCCTTCTTCTTTTCTGAACACATAATTTCAATGACCCTTCCCAAACATTCCCCATTTCACCATTGCCTAACTAGCATTTACATAGCATGTTGATTCTGAACCCTCTCCATTAGCTAGTATCATGGCTACTGCATAACTAGCATTTACATAGCATGTTGACTCTTAACCCTCTCCATTAGCTAGTATAATGGCTACTGCATAACTAGCATTTACATAGCATGTTGACTCTTAACCCTCTCCATTAGCTAGTATCATGGCTACTGCATAACTAGCATTTACATAGAATGTTGACTCTGAACACGCTCTAGAAAATATTTTTAGCTGTGCATGATTTAAAAAAAAAACAGAAACACATTCGTTGCATATCAACTTTTATAATAAACATGATACATATATAGTTTAACGTCGATCGCAAAATGTCTCCAGAAGAGTGACGATAATAGAACAAAACTACAGGAGAACACGGAACTTTGTCTTGGTGGTCTGAAAGTAGGTCATGAGTATGAGCCCGATAACATTGTGAGACTGAAAGTAGTTATGAGTATGAGCCCCATAACGCTGCGAGTTGCCCGAGGACGTGAAGACCACAGAACATATATATCAGAAGTTGAAGTCGTATATTACATTTTATCAACACCTAGTGTCGGAATAAACTAAGTAACCTTGAATGCCAAATAGCGGGACATTTGAAATAGCTAAAATCTATGAATTTCCCGAAATGAGGGATATTTAAAATAGCTCAAAACCAAAGAATTTTTAAAAAATGCGATGTATTTCAAATTTCTCTGAGATATAATTTTTAAAAGATATGATACGAACGATTTATGATGTAAAGTTCTTTTGCTGATATGGACACTAAAGTTAACATTTATGTAAATTTGACCTAGCTCCGCTGGCCACAATATGACTCCCGCATGCGGCCCGCGGGTCTTGTGTTGGCGACCCTTGATTTGAACGAAAATACTCACTGTAGATTAGTCCTGCCCTCAAGTTCATCACAGAGTGTTTTTTTTGTAGTGCACATACTTTTCACCATAACATTCTACAAAATAATATCAAGAAATATGTTGTTGGGTATGGTCTGGAGTGATTCATTTTTATAATGAAACTTTCCACATAGTAAGGTGTATACGAAAAATAAGAAGACCATGACAGGCAATTTATGAAGAATAAGTTCATTGCCTTAAGAACTATAACCTAAACATACTCACAGCAACGGAATCACTTGGCCACATTCTCGATGTCACACTTCGCCCGTAAACTTTTTCACTGAAATTATTTGAAGAAAAACGTTTAAAATACCACAGGTGTTTGAAACAAATAACCTAAGCATTACAGCGAAATGTAATTTAAAAAAAAATGTAATTATGTTTTTATTGTTTTTGTTCGCCGATGAAGGCTTCTTGCCGGCACGTTCGGTGTTTTATGGTGTTACCGAAAATGGGGTCACTTACCTGCATGGACTGTCACAAACACCGCTGCATAGAACAGCCGTAAATGTGGCCACTTACCTGCTTGGACTGTCACAAGCACAGGTGCATAGAACAGCCGTAAATGTGGCCACTTACCTGCTAGGACTGTCACAAGCACAGGTGCATAGAATAGCCGTAAATGTGGTCACTTACCTGCATGGACTGTCACAAACACCGCTGCATAGAACAGCCGTAAATGTGGTCAGTTACCTGCTTGGACTGTCACAAGCACAGGTGCATAGAACAGCCGTAAATGTGGCCACTTACCTGCTTGGACTGTCACAAGCACAGATGCATAGAACAGCCGTAAATGTGGTCACTTACCTGCATGGACTGTCGCAAGCACAGGTGCATAGAGAAGCCGTAAATGTGGCCACTTACCTGCTTGGACTGTCACAAGCACAGGTGCATAGAACAGCCGTAAATGTGGTCACTTACCTGCTTGGACTGTCACAAGCACAGGTGCATAGAACAGCCGTATATGTGGTCACTTACCTGCTTGGACTGTCACAAGCACAGGTGCATAGAACAGCCGTAAA